GTTTCCCTTGACTCCAAAGGTCAAGGTGAGGTCCCTGTTGGGGAGGGGGGAAACTGCTGCTGTTTGGAACCCTAACAGTCTACAGAGTAAGATCTGATCTCAAAAAAAGGGGTGGGGTTGGGGAGACAGTATAGACAGAGCTGGGGTGTTGCTCAGTGGTCCAGCCTTGTCTGACTGACATTTACAAAGCCCCCATTTGGCCCCCAGAACAGTAAGTAAAGAAACAAATAAATAGTAAAGCGTCAGGCATGGTGGCTTCCATCTAGACTCCCAACACTCAAGAGGCTAAGGCAGGAAGATTGTTCCAAGTTTGGGTCAGCCTGGGCTACAAAATGAGCTCTAGGCAACATGTGCTGTACAATGTGAACCTGCCTCGAAAAAACAAAAACAAAAAATACAAATAAAACAGACCACAAATTTGGTCCTGTTTCCGGATTCCTGAACCTGAACTCCAGGACTCTTTAGGAGGTTCACTCCCGGGCTTCAGAGCAGTACAGTCTGTGTCTGTGCTCTGAGGGTGGAAACTCTCCACAGCAGGCATGCTGTGTATAACACAGGGGAACTGCTTGCTTTCACCATTCACTTTCAGCCCTAATCTCCAGGTTTTCCCTCTTCCTCAATTGTGAACAACAGGGGAAGGACAAATGCAAATAAGTCCTCACTGTTCACGTAGAGCGCTCGGTACCAATGTAACTCAGTCTGAACCACCTCTACTAAGATGCTCTAACTACCAGTTATACCAAGTGACAAATACCTGACACTGCCACCCGTCCTCCATATATAATTGAATTACGAATGTAAACTATCTTACCATCCAGAAGGCAATCAAAATGAAGGCACTGCAAGTACTCCCTCTCTCTCATGAAGCCATTCAGAGGAGTGGCCCAACCTTCTGCCAAAACCTGCACCCACTGCATATCCACCTGGGAAATTAGTAGATAAAAATCTGTATTTCATATAAGAATGAACCAAGCAATAATGGCTGTTATAAGCTTAATTTTGCACATAATGGAAACAAGCCTTTCAATGATGCATATGGATTATACAACTCTAGCAAAGGTAAAAGCATAGGAAAATAAGCATCTCTTCTAATACATTTAAAATGCACTGGCTTTCACATATTTCTATCAAGGACAGTCTCACCTCAACCAAGGTTTCTCAAACTTTAATGTATATCAGACAACCTCTGGAAGGTATGTTAAAAAAAGCAAGCTTCACACTCAAAGTCCAAGGCAGTAGGGCCCAGGATTTTATAATTCTGCCATGCTCCCAGAAAATGCTGATGGCGAAGGTCTGGAAGCTGCATGTTGACAGCCACTACCCTAAACCAAAAGATACTTTATGTGAAATATTTACTAAAAAGTCTCTTACCCTGGACAGAGGATCCTCCATTTATAAAGCCTGTCATTTCTTAAATTTCCCATCAGAACATTAAAGAGTTGGTGAATTGCATATGTCATTAATGAATGGTGGGTACATCCTTTTTTTGAACTGGACTGGACATACAGCAATAGATCACAAATGAGGAAAGATGAAGCACCTGGCCAAGTGGTGGGAAATGAAACAGAGCCTCTTCTTTATTCCTAAAGCACACTGGCTAGTGTGTTCAATGAAACATCAGCTAATGGTGAAGAATTCTCCAGCTTCAACTCACAGGAGAACTATTCATGGAGAAGGTTTCTTTCTACTTTCAAGTTTTCCTCTTATTAATTTTTCCTAAACCTTTGTATAATGGCTATTACTATCTCTGTTAGAACCCAATTCTAGAAGATATGTTGTTAGGGGATAAATGTCTGCAAAATTCCTATGCTGAAGCCTTAACCTTCAATGCGACTATATTTACAAATAGGGCCTGTGATGAGGTTCGATGTATAGGTGCACTGTCAACTGAACCAGCTGACCATATCTGAGAAGTGTTGTACTCAAAGTTCACATGTAGAAAAAGCTACTGTCTTTCTGGGCTCTGTAATCTAATACACCTTCATCCATCTATCTCTCTCTCTCTCTCTCTCTCTCTCTCTCTCTCTCTCTCTCTCT